AAATGAATGTTGTAGTTTCAACAATATCGCAGTATTTTTCTGCTACAAATGATATGCTCCTGACACCCCAGTAATAAAATTTAAATGAAAACATTAATTCTGTAATCTATACGAGGACACACATCTTACTTTTTTCTTACAAGCGTCGCAGGAAGACAAATTATACTTCGCTGTCGATCTCAAGCATAGTGGTCACTCGGTATCCACTGGGAATCGCCTCCAGGACCCCCTCAGATACCCAGATCTGTAGCTGCTGAAACCTGTACGGATCATGCTGTCGTGCCTAAGTGCACAGCCAGCCTGCAGCGTCCTCGCTAGATCACTTACAGTGCGGACCTGCTACAGACGCTGACCACTGCTGTTCAGGGAGGTGATGAGGAAAAGTCTCTGCGTGTTCAGTCCAGACCCAATTCTCTCTCCAAATATTTTTGTTCTGAGGTTGTTTGACTCCGCAGCTGTGAAGCCTGTGTTGTGGAGGGCGGAGAACTGACTGCTTCTGCGATAACGATGATCTGGGAAGCAAGACGTGTGATTCTGCTTCTACTAGAGGTAGACGCGTGAAAGCCTGGCCACACAGACACACACGGTGTGAGACAGTGCAAGGATCAGGGTCCGCCCCAGCCTGGCTAGTAGCGACAGTGAGAAGGCCAAAGTTGGTGCCCTTTGGAGTGGACACCCTGGCCAATCCCGTTCCAATGCTCTGGTCACCTTTGATACTTCATGGGTACTTGGGAGCCAGCCTCTCCCTACTGGTGATGAAACCAAGTATATGTTTTGTTTTGTTTGTGAGGCAGGGTCTTGCTGTGTGGTCTAGGCTTGCCATGAACTCATTATGAAGCCCAGGCTGGCCTCGAACACATGGCAGTCCTCCTGCCCCAGCCTTCCAAGTGCTGGGATTACAGGTCTGCACCACAACACACCCCAGTTTTTTTGTGTGTGTTTTGACACAGGGTTTTACTGAGTTGCCCAGACTGGGTTTGAATTTGCTATCCTCCTGTCTCAGCCTCCCAGAGGACTGGGATTATAGGCATGTGCCACCACACCCAGCTCCCTTTTTATGTTCTATTTTGAGGCAAGGTTTTTTTTTTTTGTGTGTGTGTGTGTGTGTGTGTGTCTTTTTGAGACAAGGTCTTGCTGTGCAGCTCAGGCTGGCCTTAAGCTCAGTTTGTAGCCCAGGCTGGCCTCAAACTCACAATGATCTTCCTGCCTCAGCCTCCCGAGTGTTGGGATTACAAGCATGCGCCACTACACCGGGCTTTGAGGCAAGGTCTTGTGGGACTCAAACAGGTTCATCCTGCCTCAGCCTCTGTCAATGCTGAGATTATAGCATGTGCCACCGTGCCCAGCTGATTGCCCTCTTCTTTAAGACAGTGACCTCAACAAGAGGCTCAGGAATATCAGCGCTGCTTCAGTGATCAAGCCTTTTTATTTTCCTCTTGATCTAGTCAGATAACTCTAGCACAGACAATTCTCTAGGAGGTTGGGGTGTGGCTCAGTGGTAGAGCACATGCTGATGGATGAACTCTTTGGTTCAATTGCCAGCCCCCCTCCCATTCTTCAGGGAGCTGATGTGTCAAAAATGATGGGAGAGAGGTTCCCTGAGGAAGCGTGTTGATGGAAGGTCACCATGCCCTGCTCTAGGAATGGATTCTACTCGGGTAAGCCGAGCCAGTGAGCGGTGGACCTTCCCTCCCAGAAGTGTGCTCCTTTTATTCCCCGCTGGTACTGAGACAGGATCTCACTAAATCGTGTTGCCCAGGCTGGGACTGAATGCATGATCCTCCTGCCTCAGACTCCCAGCCTGTGCCGCCACGCCCGCCTCCTTTATGTTGTGGTCTCTGAGAAGTCGCCTCACTCCACTCCTTGTATGCTACCCGAGATCTGCACCTCACCCAGCACCCTGGGAACAAGGGGTCTACTAATCCCCCCTCTGGGCGTCTCCACCTCCAAGCAGGGTGTGGGTTCTGGCCAGAGGAAGCAGAGGCGAGGAAGAGGCTCACACCCCTGAGCAGAGCTGGGGCGTCTGGGTCGACGGGCTGCACTGCACAGAGGGTAAAATAAAGGGCAGAGGGCTGCGTGGAGCTGTAGGCGCCCTTGGCTCCCTTTCACATATTCCTGCGGGAGCTCAGAGGTAAACGCCGGCCCAGTAGGTGATCAACTTTGCAGACTGTGAAAGCGCACCGCACCTAAATTCTGGTTCTGATCTCCAGGCCTTTGGCCCGGCAGCTCCAGGATGGTCAACACTGCCCTCTTCTGTTCAGAAACTCGGGAATCTGCACGAGGATTTGCACACTTGAATGTGACAGCAGGAGTGAAAGATTGGACGATACCTTATCGGGGACTGTAAAATAAATGAGCAGCCGTGGTAGATCTGGAATAATTTATTAAGAGGAAAACCCATAAATTTTAATAAGCATTAGCTTTGGAAATTATCTCTAAGGAACTTGCTGTTTTCTGCATCTTAAGGTCTTTCTGCGATTTGCATAGATTACTTTTGGGTTGTTTGTATTTTTGAGACAGGGGCTCCCTGAACTCACTATGTATCCTGAGCTGGCCTTCAACACACGGTAGTTCTCCTGGTTCAGCCTCTCAAGTGCTGGGATTACAGATATGCGCCACCACACCTGGCCGGATTACTTTTGGAATTGGCAAGAATTAAAAACAAGTAGTTTTAGTCTGCAGAAAACAATGAAGGAAAAAATAGAAATCCATTAGCATTTCTGTTTTATTGCTGTAGACAGCCAACCGAAGAAGTAGCTTTTGCAGGCGGTGTGTTGGGCAGGTGAGCACAGCTGAGGATGAAGATCTGAGAAAGCCTGGCGTCCTGGTGGGCAGTACCACAAAGCATTCCAAGAATGTATGTTCAGAACTCCACTTAACCTTCCCCAGCACCTAGATTTGCTCTCTTGGGTATCTGCGCTTACGCGTGCACGTGTGTGTGTGTGTGTGTGTGGGGGGGGGTTCCTGGTGTGAAATACATAGTGAAATATTATAGTGTAAATGTCAGGCAAGGATTGAAAAGCTTCCTCTTCAATCACATAAGGTAGATGTCACTGTCTCCCTCCCTTTTTAACTGAAGTGTGTGTGGTTTTGGTTTGTTTTTTTTTTTGTACGAAGAATCGAACTCATGACCTTGAGCTTGCCAGGTAGGCGCTGTGCCGCTGAGCCATATCCCCAGCTAGTAGTGTATTTTTTTACAAAAGTAAATTCACACTGACCGAAAGCTGCACTTAGTATTTCACCTCATTTGCTGCCACCCCCATCCACTAAAAACAAAACAAAACACAGGTTTCTGTTCCGTCTTACAGAGCCACAGGATTTCCTCAGCCCTATAAATGCATCATGTCCTTTACCCCTAGATACCTGTCCTCCTCCTCCTCCTGTTTCTGGTCCTCCTCTTCTTTTTTCTTTTTTTCCTTTTCCTCTTCTTAAGACTAGGGATATCTCCTCTCATCATCAAAATAGAGTCACTGATGTCATGCCTTTCTGTTAATAAGCATTCCAGTTGTGCTCCGTATTCCAATAATGTCCTTCTTAGCATTTCCACTTCGTTGTGCAAGGTCTCACCTGGCATCAGGTGGTGTGTGTGGCCGTGGTCCTCTGCTCTCGTCTGGAATGTTTCTTTGGCTTTGAGACGTTGATGTAGCTAAAGCATGTATTTTCAACTTGCTCCTTTTTCTTATTTTATGTTGTGTCCTGATTCAATGTAGACCACTCATTCGGGTTTGTTTGGGTTGTTGTTGTTGTTGTTGCTCCTTTTTCTTATTTTATGTTGTGTCCTGATTCAATGTAGACCACTCATTCGGGTTTGTTTGGGTTGTTGTTGTTGTTGCTGTTTTGTTTATGTGTTTATTTTTAGAGACAGAGTCTTGCCCTGTGACCCAGGGGTCCTAAGTCACTCTTAGGCAGAATACAGCAGACCTGATATTGTGTCCTCCTTAGGTTTTTGTTTTTGTTTTTGGTGGTTTTTTTTTTTTTTGCCTTTTTGAGATAAGGTTGCTGTGCAATTCAGGCTGGTCTTGAGCTCAGTTTGTAGTCCAGGCTGGTCTTGAACTCGCAATGATCCTCCTACCTCAGCCTCCAAGTGCTGGGATTATAGGCGTGCACCACCACCCCTGGCTTGTCCCTTAAAATTTGACATTTAGATTTCTCCGCCATAGAACAGGTCCTCCCTTTCTTGCAGCTATCAGACATGGTGCCTGCCCACCCTTCACCCCCCTTAGCACGCAGATTCTTGTTCTGTGCAGCCTCTCCCCCAGATGGTCATGAGGTGAGGGGCAGGTGGTGTTCGCATGACTGCCAGGGCAAGGGTGAGCTGTGTGTATTCCTCCCCGTCTTTCTTTTTTTTTTTTTTGAACTGGGAACCGAACTCATGACCTTGAGCTTGCCAGCAGGTTCTTGCCAGTATTTGATATTGGATAAGGCTGAGCCATATCCCCCACTCCCCTTTTTCCTGAAGCATGACTGTGACCATAATAAGTAAACTCCACTTCTCACATCGAAATAGAATTCAAATTGTTGTCCACTTGAAACAGAGCGATTTTCCATCAAAGTGGGGGGACTAACATGAAGTATTTGTTCTTGCCTTACAAATTATAAAAAGTTAAAAGAATGTTTATACTTTGAAGGTGTATAGAACTAACTTCACTTGCAAAAACCTCAAGCTTTCTTCTCTACTTCTACTGTGCGCCTTGACTATGGCCCCCTGCCCCGCACTCCCGTGTCCCCGACTCTGGTGCATTGGGGGCGCGTGGTGACTCCATCCCTGCATCCTCATCACCCCCGTCGCCATTAGCGCCCTTGTGCTTTTGTGAGTTTTGTGTGTGGCAGTGATGAGTTCTCGCTGCCTTTGAACTCTGTCGTCATGGTTCATTCTCTCCTCCCCAGTCCCGGGGCTTTTCACTGTCCCCATAGTTTTGCCTTGTCTAGGGTGTCAGGGCTGGGATCGCGCAGTCCTTTCAGACTGGCATCCTGTCCCCGAGCAGTATGCGCGGAAGGCTCCTCCTTGTCTGTTTATGGCCGTTTCTCAACAGCGCCGCCCGTGCGCGCGGGCACGCGCTCGCCCGCCGGACTCCTGGGTTGCTCGCGGAGCTTCGGCAGTGTTTGGCGCGCACCAGACGCCCCAGCTGGTTCGGGTAAATCCCAAGGCGCACGGTCACCAGACCCTAAACAGTGTGCAGCGTGAGGGACGGCCACGCTGCTTCCCGGCGCACGGGCGGCCTTCCCCGGAACGGGCACGGTGCAGGGGACGCGTGTGCGCAGGCGAAGCTCGCCCCGGAGCGCCCCGACGTCCGCAGTTCTCGCCAGCCCAGCCAAAGCCACCCGCAGGTTTCTGCCACCCTTTGGCTGTGCCGTACCCCGTGGATTCAGAGCCGGCCTGCGGGGGAAGGCCGCGCCAGCGGGTCGTGGCTTCTGGGCGCAGTGTGGCAGGTCTGGCCTCGGCCCCAGGCTGGCCTCGGCCGGAGTGTGTGGGCCTGGCACGCGCACGGGTGGGGCCCGGCGTCCCCACGTGGGCGGCTTCCGTTGGCAGCGCGGAGCTGGAAGCGATCTGGCCTCTGCTCCTCGTGGCGACCCCAGCGCGCCTGTCCCGCCGAGGGGCCCCTGGGAGAGGCCGCACCATGCCCTGGTGGAGGAGACTGTGCGGTGAGCTGCACCCCACCCCCCGCAGTCACGAGCCTTCCTGCCCACCTCACCTTGGAAAACTGGGGTGCAGCGAGGCGAGGGCAGGAAGGGACAGGGCCGAGCATGGCAGCGGCACCGGAGGGACGGCGCCCGCCGCATCCCAGCCCGGGCCGCTCCCTGCACATGAGCCTGGCCCGGGTGCCAAACCTTCCTGTGGCGTAGCCACAGGCCACGGTGACCCAGAGTTAGGAAACAAGGCACACAGCCAGGG